TGTGTGTGTGTGTGTGTGTGTGTGTGTGTGTGTGTGTGTGTGTGTGTGTGTGTGTGTGTCCTGTGTGTACATACATCTTACGTGGATATTGTTTATTATACGTGGTTAGTTTGTTTTTCTTTTCTCTTAGCTGCAGCTGTGCTTTAGTTTGTTGTTTTATGCAATTCTAAAAGAAGCTACGTTGTGCTTTCCAATGCAGTGCAAATTATGATGTGTTCTCATTTACGACTATGACAGAAGTAATTTTCAAATAGATTATGATCGCTTTGGTCGCGGTAATGATCCTTATTGCATATTTATGAGCACCTGCGTCGATGTTTGAACTTGATGCGATCCATTACACTGTATGTGTATCTCCATCGTTACTTATTTATTACTATATATAATGATGTGCCTGTGCCACTTTTCAAGTGAAAAAGCTAGGCTATACATGTGCTACAGTTATCGATATTAAGTGAACAGTCGTGAGAAACGCATCATATTTAATTCGGAGTGATATTTCACCAGGTAAGTGTGACTTTATGCGATGGTACAGCTGGGCAGCGATAACGTGGGGACATATTATAATTTTTGTGATAGCTATACTCTCGTTTTGTCAGCTTAACATTATTTTAAAAGAGGAACTGATACCCGCATAAAGGTTTCCCAATTCAGATATTGTTGCACCGCTTCGGTAAGTTCTTAGTTCTAGGTCTACGTCATTCAGATCTTTGTTCAAAAATATTGTCACGGACAAGGGAGGGGCGGGGGGGGGTACTTTTATTCCTTTGTACAGAAAAATGTGTCGGGTTCTTTATGACAGATCACTTCTCTCGGAGGGGGACAAAGCAACATTAATCCCACTATCTTTAACTACGGTACATGCAAGTTGTTTTTTCGGGGTGGGGGCTGCTTTCTTTTTTAATTTTATCGTATTACTTTTTGCTGCTGGGTGTTGTTGTTGTTGTTGTTGTTGCTAGGGTTGGAGTTGGATGGGTAGGTATGTGGTAATCTTACAATGTTTTCTCTCTATTTTGATCTTGGTTTGGTTTGGGGTTTGTTTGGTTTGGGGGGGGGGGTTGCAGGAGGGGTGTTTTTATTTTTGCTTTACTTTTCTTTCTTTTGGGGGGGGGGGAGGATTAACTTCGCTAAAGTTTGGGGACTTCCAAAGCTTGAGTGTCCTTTAGAACTGTAAATGTACATGTTGTGCCTTTGATCACAAGGTGTTTCAGTAAAAATCCATACATAAATTATGTATTTTTGCGTGGACGTTATAAGTGTTTCGTCAGACAAAATAAATTCGTTAAGAATTGCACAACGGACGGGAAAATGTCGGCTGTCATCGATCTCATTATTTTGACGAGGAATGGGTTTCACAAAAACTCCATACCTTTGGTGTCATAGATGAATGATATAAGGTATTGCATTTTCATTTTTTTTAAATCCTTTGAGAGTTAGAATTAGGGTCCCGTCGTGTAAGATGTTGTATATCCTGGAAAACGTGTGTTACCCCATTCTGTTTAACTAAGCCAGATACAAATAGGTATATGACAAATGTAGCGTGACTGTATGGCGGTTGTGTGTGTCTAACAGGCTGCAAAGCTTTATATTATCGTTCGGGGAGCTATAATGATAATACGGAATGAATAAGCGTAGCCTACCAATGGACGTATTATAAAATTGTCTGAGTATTCAGTGGATTTAGAACTATAAATCATAGTTAAAGTAGACCTATCTAATTTCAACTTCTTTAAAAAGTGGTTCGTCATTGGAAATTACTTTATATGTTAAGCTATGATATCATTCCTTGCCCTAAAATTATTGAGCTTTGCAATAATGTTAGATCTACATCAACAGTCCGTGGTGACACCCGCCAAGATTTTGAATGGGAAATCCAGAGAAAACGCAGAGATGTTAGTCGATCCCTTGAAATCACAGATAAATCGGTTCGCTTTGTAAACTAGGTAATAAAATAAGATAAAGTGTAATCTTCAACAGATCTGCTTTTACCCCAACTTACAATTAGAATCACCTGTTTCATTTTTAAACACACACACACACACACACACACACACACACACACACACACACACACACAATTTTCAGCTGGCAATCATAGGACAGCCAAGAACGAACTTGAAAAAGACTCACTGTTCTGAATCTATTATTCGGACGATCGTTAAAACGTTCTACTGTGTCTTTCCACTTCCCTTCTCTCTCGTTTCTTGCAGATGGTTATGCTTTGATTCCGTTTTTACCGAAGCAACGCTTAGCAACGAGTTTCAATTGACAAAAGCAAAATTACAAACGTCGTAAGATCGAAAGTGGTATTTTTAACAGGTGACACCAAAAATGGCTCCCTTGTCCCGACGCGACTACGAAGAGCTTGGCCAGGAGGCAATGGAAAAACTGAAAGAGTACCAGAACTCAACAGAAGGTTGGAAGGTTGTTTCCAAGACAAAAGTAAGAAAATCTGTTCTTCCATCTTATCCCTTAATTCTAACATTAAAAGTCTGGGAGCGAGATGCATAAAATTGCTACTTGCACCAAGATTGGTATTTGTAGAGTATAACATTTTTTAACGTAAAGGGGCAACATTTTTTGCGTGCATAAGAAGCCCAAATCGGCATTATTGTCTTCTTTAGCGTTGCGATCGTTTGGTTTGTTTTGATTATTTATTGTGTGTCAATTGTTAATGTTTTATGTCCTTGTTTGTTTGGATTTTTTTTCTTTGTGTGCATGGCTGGCACCAAAAGGAGGGGGGGGGGTGAGAAGGAAGTGGATGGGGAGGGGGACTGCTCAGTCATAATTTTGAGTGCTAGAGTATTGCATGGGGGTTTTCATTTGAGTTTGATCGTATCTTTTCAATGTGGTTGATAGACAATGCCGGGCATGCGTTAAATTCTACTTCAAAATTCATAAATGTCACTTTCTCCCACATGCGGGTGTTTTCATTTCACTGTGTGCTTTGTTGATCAGTGAATTAACTTTTCTATAGCCTTTTTTTTTTTTTTTTGCTCTATCCGTCGTCGCATCATTTGAAACTGTTGTGAAAAGGAGGTGGATTTATTGAGGTCTTTATACTTTAAATGATTATAATGTTTAGTTTTTGACAACTAAAACAAACATATAATTCGCTTTATATGGGATACGACAGCATCAGTGAAATGTTATTTTTTTCCTTCTTCATTTGTTCGCAATTTTTTTCTCTTTCTGAGCTATATAACTATAAAAGAACACAGAATGAGAGTTTATTTGTTTAGTAATAGTTCCTTTTAGCATTATGAAAGTTGTTTACTTGTTTGTTTATTTTCTTGTTGGTTTTTTGTTTTGTTTTTGTTTTTTGTTGTTGTTTTTTTGCTTTTTATGAGTGTGTCTTTATTTCATATCCCTTTCTTTTCACAAAAGAAAACCATCTTCGGGGAAGATGAAATTCATTTCTTTCTTGTCTTTTCTCTTGCACGGTGGTGGTATTTTTGCACGCTCCCCAGAACTCAAAGTGGATGGGTTCTCTTTCATTCCAGGATGGCGTGCTTGTAGAATCCAAACCATCTGATGTCTTTCAAGGCGGAAACATGCAAGTCAAATTTACTCTAGTATAATACATTTGTATTCATATGCCTTGTGGTCTGTTTAAATAACGTGTACGTCACTTAAAATGAAAAGGCCTAAACTTGTATTCTCCATTAGAACAAAGAAGGGAGACGAAAAAAGAAGAAAGGAACGCCACTTTAAACACAGAAGACAGAAAAAATTACGATTGAAGTAGGTTCAGTCTCTTCAAGTTACATAAACTCACTTATGTGAACAAAACGAGTCCTCTCAGGATATATACATGTATTCGTATTACACGTCTTTAACCCACATAGTCAGGGTATTTCTGTCAATCTAACAACTACATAATTTGTACTAAAATGTGCCTTGTGAAATAATTCAAAATCACGACGTTGACAGCAGATGTATGTTTGCTAGTAAAAGTACAAACACAGACACCGGCTCCCATAAAACCTTCAAGGTAGAGAATATCATTCAACAACAATCGTATAATAAAATAAATATCTATTTGAGGTTGCATTATCTACATGAGTTCATCACCGACGACGTTGTGGTTGTTGGGCACACTCGTACTGATAGAATGGGCCAATTGAAAACACATATTTTGGTCAATGGAGGCCAACATCTCTTCCTGAACGTTTCAAAGAGATTTGTGGGCAATTATTTTTTAAGCACTTTGTCAAAACTGATAAACGATAAATAAACAAAATTTAATTTATTATTGGTATCCTACTTTGCTTCACGCAAGGTATGTTCCGCTGGAGAACAAGAAAACACTTAATAAATCATATTCTTGGACTTACAGTTTTCGAAGTCAGTTTTATCAAAAACGAAATTTCTATTCACAAACTGTGAAGTAGTCTCAAGCTCAAGCAGTTAAAGCCATTGAGCCGTATTACACCAGTTGCCGAAGACAAAGATTTGTTTTCAAAACTTTCGTTTTGCTTCTCTTGCTACTTCTTTGATATTTTTAAAGACAATAATAAAATTACCATATAAACCTATTCGGTCATTCGTTTACTTTTTTTTTCCTTTTTTAAAAGTAAGTTAGGTTTTCGTTTAAACGAAAAGCTATTCCCCAAAGAAGAGGGTTCACATACTTTTTTTCCTATTTGGGGTAACAAGTTTCATTCCATTTTCTAGTTAAACATTAATCTATGGTCTTTGATAACAACTGCGTGTTTTGAGATACACATTATCACAGTTGGAAGAATCACGTTTTAAGGAAAAAAAAGGACTTTCAAAAGTTCTACTTTGTTTTCAGGGCAAAGATTATTTTCAACAGCCATCCGTTATACTCGAACATATGGAATGAACTATATTTCGTCAAAGTTATTATTTTATATAATCGATAAACATCTCGTATAAAAGTTAAATTTTCCAAATGCCTTCTACCGCCGGGTGTTGATTAATTGTATGCCTACGCCTTAGTGTTTAAAGCTACCAACCCGGTGAATTTGTAATAGGAGACAAGTAAACTATTTTTTTAAAAATAAACATACAGATGAGCTGCCCAATTGTCTGGGGGGGGGGGGGCTGGCTGAAAGAACATAGATAGATAAATAGACAGACAGACAGACAGACAGACAGACAGACAGACAGACAGACAGACAGACAGACAGACAGACAGACAGATAGATAGACAGACAGATAGATAGATAGATAGATAGATAGATAGATAGATAGATAGATAGATAGATAGATAGATAGATAGATAGATAGATAGATAGATAGATAGATAGATAGATAGATAGATAGATAGATAGATAGATAGATAAATAGATAGATAGATAGATAGATAGATAGATAGATAGATAGATAGATAGATAGATAGATAGATAGATAGATAGATAGATAGATAGATAGATAGATAGATAGATAGATACTTTTCAACACCTTTTCGCTTTCTTTTAATTTCTTTTCTTTATTTTCAATCCATGTTTTCTCCTGATATAGATATCGTAGCGTTGCCACTATAAACGCACCCTTAGAGACGGTTCAGGACGCATGCCGGTTATGTCCAGGGTCTCCAAGATTAGAATGGGAAAGTACCCTGTCCGGCGTGGAAAATCTGGAGACTATCTCAGATGTGAGTAACGGTCAACTGCCTTCATGAAGTACAAGTATCTTTCTTTGTTTGTTTGTTTGCTGGGGGTTTTTTTTTTGGGGGGGGGTTGTTTGTTTGTTTGTTTTTTGTGTGTTTTCTTTTGCTTTGGTTTTGTTTTTGTTGTGTGTTTTTTTGTTTAATTAATTTAATTTGATAATTATAATAGAAGAAGACAGTACTTGTGTCGTGCTAATTGCCGATTAGCAACAAGCTCTATACGCTTCACAATCTATATCATTACCCCATCAGACTTGATAGCATTCTGAAACAATCTCAACTTTCTTGGAAGCATATAGTGCAAGATGCCATTTTACAGGCGCAAAAACCACTAACAAGCTGACAAGATCTTTCGCTGTTTATGGCTGAGTACCCATTCACACCTAATTGAAGTGAGGAAAATTCATGTATAGCGCATTTCCCAAGGACACAACGTCGGGCTTGGGGCTCGAACCCTCGAACCCGCAGCCTCACGATTTCGAGTCCGGTAGCCTAACCACTAGACTACCGACGTCACAATGGAGTATGTCCATCTCTTCTCCGACAAATGAAAGCTATGCATGGAACATCTCACATTTGTTTTGTTTGTTTTTTTAATTATTTTTTTTAAAATAAAAAATAAAAATAAAAATAATAATAATAATAACAATAATAATAATAATAATAATCATAATAATAATAATAATAATAATCATAATAATAATAATAATAATAATCATAATAATAATAATAATAATGAAAACAAAAAAATGATTTCCATTTTTTTAAATTTTTTTTATAGACTTTCTTGAAAGTTTCTTGTTGTCCTTTCTTAGTGGGGGGGGGGGGGGGGGCTTTTGGTTTTTGTTCTTATTTTCTTGTTGGTGTTGTTTCGAGGTTGTTGTAGTTTTTGTTGTTGTTGCTGTTTGTTGTTGGGTTTTTTGTCTGGTTTGTTGTTGTTGTTTGTTTGTTTGTTTGTTTTGTTTTGTTTTTTGTTTGTTCCACCTGTGCCACGACTGGGTTTGACTTGCACTGTGCTGGTAATAAGTATTTGTGATATATGTAATTCATACTCTGCACAGAAAGCTTATAGTTGTTCCCCATTACAGTTACAATCTGAACTGGTGTCACCATGTGGTCCAAAGTAGTTTTCCTATGATGTCCTTCTTGGGCCTACGTGTCCATTGAAGTCTCCCATTATGATAAGTTCCTCCTCATCAGGTACGCTGTCTATGGTGTCCGCCAACTTCTGGAAAAAATTCTTCTTTATCTTCCCTTGAGTATGTGTCGTTGAGAGGGGCGTAAACTTGAATGATAGTTTCATTTTTTGCGCTTTCTGTGCTCTGATTTTCAATATCATTTCTGATATTAATTCTTTTTCTATAACTCTTTCTGTCATGTCAGGTTGTATTATGAATTTCACACCATGATTGACTCTCGCCCTCATATCTACTCCACTCCATATTAGTACAAATGTGCGAAAGGGCAATAGAACACAACAGGGAACTAAACATAGTATTTATTGACCAGGAGAAAGCGTTCGACAGAGTGAACAGAAACAAGCTGTGGAGAGAACACCAAAACTACACTGTAAGAGGCCAACTTCTAGATAACATCTGTGCCATTTACGACATCAGCATAAGTACAGTAAGAACGTCAGGGGGACTCACAGAATGGTTCGAGATATCATCTGGAGTAAGACAAGGTTGTGTCTTCACACCACTACTATTTATCATATATAATGGATAAAAGTACAAAAGAGGCCAACACAGAACCAGACGCCCTAAATGAATAAATCGTCGCTGACGACCAAAGCCTGGCACACAAAGATGAACAAAGTCTCCAACACCACACCTCCAGATTAAACGAAGAATGTAACAACTACGACATGAAGGTCAACATCAACTAAACAGAGACAATGAAAGTAAGCAGAAATCCAGGACCGCTCAGGATAAATATCAACAACAACAGTCTCTGTCAGGTTCAAGAATTTAAGTATCTCGGAAGTATATTCACAGAGATGGGCGACTGAACAGAGAAATTGAAACACGAGTACAAAGGGCCAATAATGTTAATTACCAGCTTGCTCCACTACTGAAACATCCTAATATCCACATGACAACAAAACTCAAAATGATCAACACCATATTCATTCCAACACTCACCTATCAATGCCAAACATGGACCACAAATAAGACATTGGACTAAAGAATTATAACATGTGGAATGCGATGTCTTAGAAAAGCAGTAAACAAGACCAGGCGAGACAAAATTAGAAACTCAGTAGTCAGAGAAATGGTAGGCACTAAATGATGTCATGCATCACATCCAACACCAAAGAATCAAATGGTTCGGACATCTCATGCGATTACCAACACACCATCCAGCACAACGTGCCTAAATCAAAATATTCAATGGCAACAAGGCTAGAAGACGACCGAGGAAGACCTGAATAGATGGAGTCATGGAAACACTAACAGCTCATGGCATCTATCTGACCCAAGCTCTCCGGTTGGTGGTAGAGAGACGTCTCTTTCTTCCCGCGACACGCAAAAGGGTATAAGCGGCGGATAAAAGTAAAAGTAAAGTTTATTTGTTTCGTTGGGGGGGATGGTTGTTGTCTTGTTTTATTGTCTTTTGGGTGGGGGGGGGTTGGGTTGAACGGGGTATTTTAGGTAACATTGTATTTCCTATAGCCCTTCTGGTAAATACGTTTTATATTCACCTCTATTGTATACACTGTCGAACTCACAGCGACCCGTTTTGACAGAAAATTTCGCACAGAACTATCGATAAAGATGTTCTCATTTTTCAAACTTGGGCTGAAATTCAAAACGTAAATCGATGAACTGGCAGTTTTCAAACTAATACGGTTCCATGAACATCACACAGGGTTGACTATATGACGTTGAACTCCACCGATATCAGCTGAATAATTTGCATAAAATAAACCAGGTGTAGTGGCCTTATGAACCATCAGAGAGAGATAGAGGGAGAGAAAGAGAGAGAGAGAGAGAGAGAGAGAGAGAGAGAGAGAGAGAGAGAGAGAGAGACGGGAGTGACAGACGGGAGTGACAGACAGACAGACAGGCACAGAGAGAGAGGGAGAGAGAGAGAGAGAGAGAGAGAGAGAGAGAGAGAGAGAGAGAGGCGGGAGTGACAGACAGACAGACAGACAGACACAGAGAGAGAGGGGAAAAGAGAGAGAGAGAGAGAGAGAGGGAGAGAGAGAGTGGGGGGGGTGACAGACAGACAGACAGATATACAAACAGACAAACACACATACGTACAGACAAACACACAGACAGACACACAGACAGATAGACACGTCACTAGTTTCAAAGGAGAAGTGAATTGTACCAGCTTGAAATCATTCATTACAACAGTTCAAATTTCGACCACTGTACAATGTAGACAGAAGGTCATATTATTCACTGTTTTAAAACAAAATTTTCAAATTATTCAGTCAAAAGCATACTAGATCTAATAGTAACTTTTCGTTTAATTCACGTATTATTTGCAGTCTAGTACAGTAATTGTAAAAATAAATCAATATCTCTTAGCGATTTCATTAATAAGTTTCGAGCTCCCAGTCAAGCATAATGTACATGTATTAAAATTAATTTGTAATGTAATCCCGTTGACAGCAACTAATTAAATATACGTAGCTGAGTGAAAAGTCTTGCTTCCTAAATCATAATTACCAAAATAATTAAGCCATAAACACAAATTTTATACCAAATAAAAGCTAAGGATGTCTGTTATAAATTTAATGCTACCTTTATTTTCCGGCAAAATCACCATCTCTGTCAACACCTGTGCGTCAACGTGAAACAATTCAAGTCCGCGAAAATTCCAAACGGTTTTTCATCGCCCCTCCAACGTACGACGACTACCAGCTTCGATTTTTAAGCCGTTGTTACGTGTGTATGAGTCTCTCTCTCTCTCTCTCTCTCTCTCTCTCTCTCTCTCTCTCTCTCTCTCTCTCTCTCTCTCTCTCTCTCTCTCTCTCTCTCTCTTCATTTATCTATCTATCTATCTATCTATCTATCTATCTATCTATCTATCTATCTATCTATCTATCTATCTATCTATCTATCTTTCTATCTATCTATCTATCTATCTATCTATCTATCTATCTATCTCGTTCTCTCTCTATATATATCTCTCTCACCCTCTTCCTTCCTCTCTATCTGTTTTTCTTTCTATCTCTCTCACCCTCACCCTATCTCTTTCACTCATTCGCGCTCAAATGCATTATGACGGCTCATATAAATCTAATAGACAGTATATTGAAATATTTCACCACTTTTGTTTGGCAGTTGTTGTTTTGTTGTTTGTTGTTGTTGTGTGTGTGTGTGTGTGTGTGTGTGTGTGTGTGTGTGTGTGTGTGTGTGTGTGTGTGTGTGTGTGTGTGTGTGTGTGTGTGTGTGTGTGTGTGGATTTTGGGGGGTAAGTGTTTTACGGCGCTCGCAACTGCATAAGGTTATATGAGCGCGCGGGACACATTAAACATTTTTAGTTGGCAGGAAATTTTGAATTTTGCCCGGGTGGTGGCCGAAGCCTACTCTTATCGATTTTAGACTACCAAGATCTTTGAGGGGAAGCTAAATTTTAACTTTAACCTCTTACGACTAAATAAGGTGACCTGGGGGGAAATGTGGCCTTGAGGCACAGTACTCGCCTCTCATGCCAAAGGTACCAGGTTCAAACCAGGTTCGCGCCAGTTTAGTGAGTATACCGTGCCCAATGTATTCTTCTTCTTCTGCTTCTTCTCTCGTTCTTGGTTTGATCCTCTCTCTTTCTCGGTTTAAAAAAATATCTATGGCTCACTCACGAAATTTCTTCTTCCTCCACACTCCTCAACTAAAAGGTAGATAAGATCCAGCACCAAGTCTCTTGGATAAGGACTGAAAATGTCGGAGAGCCCGTGTGCACGTTATGTACGTTGAAGAAGGGTAGACCGTTTTGCAATCCCCTGGGTAAAATTCAATTTTGTAAAATCCCTACCAAAAAGAATATCCCTCTAACACTTGTAAAAAATAAGACATCCTCTACACCTTCTTTGGTGTATTGACAATGCCTCTCTTTTGGAGGATATCACACGGTCCTATCGGAGACGGACGTTAAACTAGGAGGTGGTCCCGCCCCTTAAATAACCTAATAGTGTTGATAGTGACGTTAAACCCATACCATTTCACCATTTTCAAAGGAAGATATCACGGAAGTCAGGATTTGAAGGGAGGGAAGTGGTACATGTGAAATCTACTTAGCCTACTACTTCCTCTCTGTTAACCTCACAGGCAAAGTTGTATCATCCACACCGCTTTAAGAACATCTGTCAAAGGTGGGAAAAGCTTATACATATAATTAATGGCTATGCCTCCGTTTTGTTAGGGGCTAGATTTGGGGGAGGGGGTTCTGGGAGGGTGGGTTGCTGCTGTTTATTTTTGTTTTATCTTATTAAACACATCTTCATGCCCTGCCAGGATCTAACAGTTGTGTGGTCTAGCACGAACAGTGTGGCAAGAGGACTTATCTCACCCCGTGACCTCTCGATTCTCATCAAGGTGTCAAAGGAAGAGAATACTGTCATTATTGCATGTGAGTGTGTTTTGGTGTGCATCCAAGTATCCTATAAATAGTTTATCCTTGACAAGCTGTTCAACTGTACTTTCCCTAGAGTGCAATTTTATTTTTGGAGAGAAGGAGAGAGAGAGAGAGAGAGAGAGAGAGAGAGAGAGAGAGAGAGAGAGAGAGACCAATTATTCTCTCTCGGAAAATTGTAAGCTATCTACATTATGTAGATTTATCTTTTCTTGATTTTTTTCAACATTTAGAATTTAAATTTCGACAAAATATTTCTCAAAACACTTGCAACCGATACCATTCGGAACTGCGATCTAAAAGGTGTTCAGAGTGTTGGTCTTAGTACATCTGAGCAGTTAGCCGATTCTGCATTTAAGTATCTGGTGATTTATTTCTGCAGATGATCATCCAGTTAGTCACGCTTTAAAATAAATTATGCCCTATGTGAAATTTCTTCAAGTGAGTAGATTAACCTTCTTCGGGTCAGTTCTGCTTATTGTCATGCTAGGCGGAAGGTGCGTGGACTTATTCTGCGCTAAGACATGTAAGGAACCAACACGACGCATCACAAACCAATTCATATCGAAACCATAATACCGAGTGCACATTACCAGTTGAACATATTTGATGGAGTCGGGACCGCCCAGATTTTCCTACATGGAGTGTCCAAAGCTACTATGTTGGCATAAGTCTACCGAATTCGACTAAATTCGATCTTGACCTCCAAAACCAACTTTTGTTTTTCTTTTTAAGTGCGCGAGTCGAATATTCAATGTCATGTCAAGCAAAAATGCCCCCCCCCCCCCCCCTCTCCTTTTTCTTTTTGGATCATTAATTCATTTCTGTACATGTGTACCTTGTCCGTTACTTTCACCGTGTTATCTTGTGGATCTATTCTGGTGTCTAAAGAATGTTCAGGATTAATTGTCCAAAGCTTCATTACACAATAGGACAAATGATTCTTTTTAGTTAACAAAACATTTTAATATTAACCTCGTGAGGATTATAATAAATCATACATTTCCTGTAAAAGAAATGTGAACAACCCGCTTCTAAAAATAAATCAAATGATGTTCAAACTTCCCCATACAAAAGCTAAGTATATTTTACATACAATGTGCCTGAAGTTCATAGTTTCAAGTTCAGGGAATATTTCAAATCTGAAAATTCATGGACCTTGTAAAAGTGACTTTTTATGCGATCAACAAAATCACATGTGGACCTACAAGGTCATCACTTAGTACACGTGCACATCTGGGGGGAATATGAATATATTAGCAAGGCCCTCTTTCGATGAAAGGAATGATCGGTGCATTAACATCAACTGAATATCATTGGGTCTACTATATTTACACTCTACTGGAATGGAGCAATAAATCTTTAGAGAAGAGTGACACATGTGTTTCCAAGTTGCCAAATATATAATAGATGCATAAATTGATTCTCTATTCCGCTTTCGTGTTTGTACACTCCAGATTTTCAAAGGTATGGAATGAGTGCGCACTAATGAACTAATGAAAATCTGAAAATTAAACTACAGTGACTTCAGACTCCTCAATAAAACTGTGCACCCTTAAAATGATTCTGAATCAGCGTTGATTTTGTTCAAATTCGAAAGTTTAATGATTCCGAAGTTTAAGGCAGCGAAAGTGACGGACTCTCACAAATATAATATGTATAGATTATCAAAACTTGTTAAAATGTTGTGTGGGGTTTTTTTTCCAGCCCAGAGTGTTGAGCGGGAAGATTGCCCACCCAGAGACAAGTACGTCCGTGCCCAAAGCTATCCCTGGGGCGCCAAGATGGAGCGGGTTAATGGGTGAGGTTTAGCCGTCAAGTTTTGATTTGGTGCTCTCAAGTGTTTGAACATGCAGTTTTGTTTTGGTTTGGTTTTTTTCCTCTTTGTTTTTAGGTGTGGGAATAGCATCTGTGTTTTGCTTTGATTTAACCGAATATATACAGATTATATAATCGTTCCTGTAGTTAGGACCGGTAGGTTCGAGTTTGTTTCAAACGTTTTGTTGTTGTTGTTGTTGTTGTTGTTGTTGTGTTTGTTGTTGTTGATGCTGTTGCTGTTGTTTTTCTTCTTCTTCTTTTTCTTCTTCTTCTTCTTCTTCTTCTTCTTCTTCTTCTTCTTCTTCTTCTTCTTGATGATGATAATGATCAAGATCTTGCGTTTGTTTTAGTTTTTGTTCTTGCTGTTCTGATTATTTTGCCACTTTTGATGATACAGCTGTTTAGTTATTCTTTGTTACAGCTTTGCTGTTGCTGGATTTGTTTTCCTCAGTTTTTGGCTTTCTTGAACGTGTTCTTTTTTGTGCTGTATGATACCAGTTTGTATTCGATTCCTTTGCATTGTTGCTGATAGCAGATTCACTACAAAGTTAGCAGAGACTTCGGATGCCGAGACAGAATTCTGACATGCATGTACGACATCAAACGGCAAGCCTTTTTTTTAAAAAAACCGATCTTTACCTGTTTTAAGTCTTTAACTCGTTTCATTGGTTGTTAATTGTTCTTTCACTTTCTTTTTCTTTTTAAAATAATAATTTAGGTTGGCTTTATTTTTATTTTTTATTTCAACAAAATCTCTGTTTTATTTCAACCTTCCGGTACAGCGACCCCAACAAAACCAGGGTGACAAGGGTGTTCCATATCGACCTCAAGGGCAAGCTGCCTCGATCACTTGTGGACGCGACTGTTCCCCACATTTTGACGAAGTCATATGAAGAGCTTACAGATTACTTGAAGAAGAATGGGCTCTTCGTAGAATGATGGATAGATGTTATCTCGATGGTTTAATTCAGTTATTTGCCACTGTGTTTCTGAAAGAGTGGCCTCTGTTTGAGTAAATATTAATTATGTTGCACTTTTACTACTTTTAGATGTGTGCATATTGTGTATGTTAATACATGTATATATATATTTGGCCAAGTCTCTGTAAAGGGGGGGGGGAGCTGATCAGCGCAAAAAGGGGGGGGGTGGCTGATCAGTGCAAAAAGGGGGGGGGGGGACTGGTTTCGAAGTTGACAGTCACAGGAAATAGTAAAAGACAACAGAAGAATACACTAGTGAACAGGAAGGCTGGAGAATTGCCAAAATATACTCGACTAAAGGACACGAGTTGTTGAGACACCACCAGTCATACAAGAACATCAGTATACAAATCGTCAAAGCTAAACGCGAGGTGGTAATGTGTATTATTCCACGTCGCTGTGGCCCAGTGGTTGGGTGACTGCTGCGAACAAAACGCAAAGAGTGAGACCCGTCATAAACCTGCTAAAACGTATAAGCCCTTTCGCCTTTCATGTTTGAGAGTAAAGACTGTCTTCTACTGGTGCTCAGCTGTTCGCGGTATACGAACATGATACGTCGTGTCAATTAAGTATCAATGTTGGAAAATGAAACTTTGTTATGTGACTATGAATTATGAATAAGAAATTGTTATGGGACACTGCTGTAAAAATGAGGTTTGGGAGAAAAGGGGGGGGGGGGGCGGTACTACATTGTCGAGTCGCACGCCACCTTATTGAATATCAGAGATGTAGCCTTCGTCGTGTGTCGTTTGAAGAATTTACGTTATTTTTGTTTGTTGAAACGTCAGCGCATAGTTTATTTCTCATTATCTAAGTGAATGCAAAGAATAAAATGCACTGCTCAAAACTGACGTTGACAAGATATGTTTTCATATATATTGTGTGTACGTGTGTGCGTGCGTGTGTGTGAGTGTGTGTGTGTGTGTGTGTGTGTGTGTGTGTGTGTGTGTGTGTGTGTGTGTGTGTGTGCGTGTGTGAGTGTGAGTACAAATGCACATTATGTTATTTATTTCATTTCATACCCCCGTGTGCTGTGAGTGGAATAAAGTGTTTCTGTTTCAACCGTTTTAAAACAGAAGGCTTTCACAAAATAAACTGCTGTGACCAATAAAACCCTCACATCTATCTTACTTTATTGTCGTCTTATTTATTATTTTCCGTCGTTCTTATTCACGACTCAGCTCACTACATACATTTCAAAACTGGCACTCATGCAGCGATGGGAAAAATATTTGGTTGTTCTTGAGGAGTACGCTGGAAAATATGAGAATTGTTTAACCAAATCAATATTGGTTTAACTTGTATCTAAATCGGGTGAAAACTTTTCGTCTGCAGCGACTTTTCTTTTTACTTCTGGTACAGCCCGTGCACTAAACAATGACAAAATTGTAAGGGTTTTTTTAGTCTTGACAAATTGTGTCGGAACACTTGAATACAGTAACCTTTCGTTTGCTCTTTCCAGAAGTCATGGAAAAGGGCTGAGGATGAGTTGCAAAACATTGCAGTGTTTAAAGTTAAAGAATGAATGATTTTTGTCTCGTCCGGTTAGCTTTAATACATTGCCTATGTGATGTTAAAACACAACTTTACACTTTGACATCACAACACAGTTTGAAAATGAAGAACGTCTTTTCCGTCCTAAAGTCATGCCGCTAAAAATTATCTTTTTAACGTGTTACTAGCTAAGGATTCTTTTTCGTTATAAAACTTTCACACAGCACATGATGTGCCATGGGTAATAAAATACGTCTTCGGTTGTGTTTCCATTTCTCGACTTCTATGACAAACATCATAACACATGATATTGGACGCTGTGCTTGTAACTGATTCTGTCTATCCCCAATATAAACAAACTCCACGATTCTGTTTCATTTCGTATGTTGTTCCTTGTCATCAAATTTCAAGAGTAAGGTTCGCACAGGAAAATTGAGGCTCTTCTGACCAACATCTGTGCTGTGTGCTCATAGCATAAAGCCATTCGTTTTTGAAAGGTTGAAAAACGTGTTCTCTCTACCTCTGCAGCTGTGAGAGCTGGATTCATTTGTGCAAGTAAGCCAGATATCTAGCCTATTTCCTCGACATTTTGTCGAAAACTTACTACTTTGAAGGTAAAAAAAAAAAGTGTAGTGAACGGCAAGTATTTTGTGGGGCTTTTTTAATATTTTGGTCAAATTTTGGTTTTTGGAATGGTTTTTCGTTTGTTTGTTTGTTTGTTTGTTTGTTTGTTTGTCTATTTTGGAGGGTATTGGCTTTTTTTCCTCATTTGCTGTATTTTGTGTTGTTGTTGGTGTTTGTTTTATTTCGTTTTATTTCATTTTATTTTTGCTGGGGCGGCGCTGTAAGGTTATATCTCTTGGGGATTGTTTTGTTGCTGGTGGGTTTGTTTGTTTGTTTGTTTGTTTGTTTAGTTTATTTTTTCTTTGTTTGTTTTGGGGGATATTTGTCTTTTTGTTGAGGGGGGGGTTGTTTATGTGGATGTTTTTTCTTTTGCTTTTGTGTTTTCTTTTTTCTAGTCGGGATGGAGAAAAGTAAGATCTGCAATAAAATAAACAGAGCAACCATTGCCACTTTTGTTTAGTATGTCCAACTTGAACAGAAGCATATCGCACAATTGTGGCGCTCTAACACCCGAAAGCGTAAAGCTCTCAGGGAGCCCATAGGCTTATTAAAATGTAATTAAATAGCATTACTATTACCTGTCAACTATTTTAGTTTCTGATTGTGCTGGTGGTGAAGCCAACCATGGCACAACGCACATGGTGATATTAATTTGGCTCTCAGTTAAAGAGGGCAAGACAACACTGTGCTCAATCCATCAACAAAGCACTATATTAGGTTGTGGCTCAAGATTCTAACACATTGCATCAACTTGTGAGGGTTTAACTTTGCTCTTGTTCTGTCGAAAGAGTAAGATGATGTGTCTTTAGCAAAGTAACTTTTCATTAAATTTCAAATCCCTCGATTCACATGCACAGCCCCGGCTCCCCTCCCCCCTGACGGTTAGGCCAACTTGCCTGTTGGTAGCAACAGAACATGTACCTGCGTCTGTCGCTTCGCTGTCGCACGCAGGAGACCCGAATTCAATTTCCGGGTGGGGAGGAAGTCTTTATCGAGTAGCTCGGTCTCTCTGCCAGGACATTGTATCCTTCTCAGCCCACAATGGAAATAGTCTAAAATGTTTCGATTTGAGCTCAACAAAATGTTGTCATATTTAAAAAAAACGGATTGTGTATTATGGCTTAATGAGCAACGACACACCGTCCACCCACATTCTCATAAGAGGGTAAAAATTAACAGCACCCGGCCGGTCAGGGGAGTTCTTGCTATGTTGTAGGAAGAGATACAAGTTTGTGAACTATCACCTTTTAACTTTTGCTCTAATTAAGTTGTTTTCACGTCTCCATGACAGGGTTTTTCACCACTCAGTTTCTCATGGCACCGTCTTCCAGAAGTGAATATGAAGAGCTTGCCAGAGCTGCAACGGAAAAACTAAAAGAATACCTCACCTCAACAGACGACTGGAAGACGGCTACAAAAACAAAAGTAAAGGTTTTTGTTGCTTTTTTAAAATCAGACAACAGAGAGAGAGAGAGAGAGAGAGAGAGAGAGGGGAGAGGGAGGGGGAGGGACAGCAGACGGAGGGGACAGAGAGAAAATATGGGGGCACGCGGGCAGTGGATAATTAAATTTATACTTTTAGATAGATAGATAGATAGAGTTACCAGCATGTATGTAAACTGCATAACATGAAATAGATATCTGTATTCGTTACATAGAGCTTTCTTTTACACACATTTGATTTTACTTTAGCACACCTTTTATGGGAAAATTACTCTGTTTCACCTTAAAGTTTAAAAACGTACAGTAAAATAATATCTGCACAAACTGCCATTCGTTTGTATGCTGCATCAGAAATTCTACAGGTGTCGCCATATCGGCCTATATTTTAAGCATACGAGAACTACCAACCACTTTTTGTATTTGCTTAGAAGAGGACTACAAGCAATCCGTATAGTCTAAGTCTAAGGGTTACCATAGCCCCGTCCAGCTTTTTTACTTGCTGAAAACTTAATATTTGTTACAAGTACATTTTGGATTAATGATATTCCGAGATGTTACAGTTTTATCTTTCCTCGGCATTTTGCACACGATCAAGGAGCTTAAAACGGTAACCTCCTTCCACACAATCCAATTATTTTTTTTTAAGGTTTTACGGCGCTTGCAACTGCATAAGGTCGTATTAGATTAGATGTGTTACAAGAGAATAGCAAACACAAAGAAGAATGAGGAGAGATAAGGAAGATAGATGTTTTATAGGAAAGAAGAAGCAAACCACACCAGTGCACCCGCCAACCACCCACAATCCAAATTTTACCCAACCAACACCCCCTAAGAGCTGAACGTAAGGTGGCAAACACTCTCACGTCATGTGAAGTTTTCATTAAGATAAGATAGCATAACATAACATAGCATAAGATGAGATAATATAATGTTATTGATCTATAAAAAAGAAATTGCTGCACATGGTTGAGGCACAGTAAAACCTTAAACATAGACCCAAATACATGTTCTTTCCTCTTCAGGATGGTATCACCGTCGAGTACAAGCTGTCAGACATGAACGAAGGCCGGAATGTGTGAGTGAAGCTTCGAAATTCAACAGCAGGAGCAACCGCAATAGCAACAGCTACATCATTATTGCCAAAGGAACCTTTATGCCTAGATATTTATAGCAATTTAATTTGTCAACAGAAAAACAGTCGATAGATAGATAGACAGATAGATAGATAGATAGATAGATAGATAGATAGATAGATAGATAGATAGATAGA